TCATTCAAATGCGCAACAGAAAGCTACCGAGCGTGATGCTGTCGGCGTGTATACGCAATAAGCCCTACGTTTAATTAAGCTAAGCATACGCTGACGCATTTATGTTTCTTACTGCGAATGCTCGATTTTCCTTGCAAGGGCTATGCGCTTCTGTTGTAACGAACGATTCATGTAGGAAACGCCCTCAAATATTCTATTATACAACAACGATCAGTGCATTTTTCAAACAATCAAATGTACGTTGTTTTTCGTTTGCACGATTTATCATTGTCATATAAAGATTACTTTATATTCTTATATTTTTCAATGCGTGTTATTCGTAAAAACGCGTTGTTCCGGGCACCTTATTTGCTGAAGTACTCTTTGAAATTCCGAACCGCATCAGCCACGCAAAATTTTTCAAATTGCGTAATTACTGCATCATAACGCGATATTACTTTAATTATTTGTGCAGTTTTGTTAATTTCTTTCTTTTTTTCTTTATTACGCAATCAATCGTCTGTCTGTGCACGCCTACAGAACTTTCGAGCATTAATTTTATGACTGCACAATCAAATGTCAACGGGTCGACATCCGCAATTTTGAGAGAAAGGGTTTACTATCGGGCGTTAATTATTGAACGCTTGAGTTATTGTGAGTCACGTGAGTTAAAATCTTGTCAACTTCCTTCAGCCTCTTCGACAAAGAAATACAGTTCTACGTTACAATATTTACAACCGTGCGAACGAAACTTAGGAAAGTAAACAGCGAGAAAAAATGAAAAGTATGATTCAATTAAGCGTTTAATTTACAACGGATATCAACTACTAAAAGCGATGTACTTTCTGAGACTGGAAGCCGAGGAGGACAATTGTTAAAATTAATTTCTGCTAATCAATTTGAAGCAATGAAACGAATTATAGAGCGAGGAGCGCGGTGTATCGTAAGCTTCGTCTCTATCCAAGCAAACAGCTGCACTCTCCACCTATAAATATCATATAAGTGAGAAAAAAACGGAGAAAGACAAAGATTTAATAGTTCGACTCGCTCAGCCGACGTCAGTCAGAAAGCTTTCGGCCGTCATGAAAGCAAGTGTCATTCATAAATTCACGCGTACACATAAATTATTTTAGTTGCAAAATAATCAATTGTAATTTATCAATTAATTTTGTACGGTATTTTTTATGAGTGATGTATTTTCTTTTGTCATTGCTCACAATTACGCTCAATTATATTTTCCATTGTTAAAATTAATTTTTATTTTATTATCGTTTCGAATAAAATCCAAATCGCGCTTACCTGTAGTTAATAATTTATTTACATTTTCTGACTCGAATACACGTATATTCACAGGTAAAAGCGTTAAAATGACATCGAATATTATACGAGGAAAAAACTGGCGGATCCAAATTATCAGCTAAATCGGCACAGCAGACTCGAAACGATAAAAAAAAACGGAGAAGATTGCGAGGCAAGAAAAAAAAGCATCACGCAACTCTGTAATAGCAAGTTGCTGGATCCAGCTGCTGTTAGGTTGCCGCTGTGTACATGTGTATGTGCATCGAAAGCACTGGAAAATGAACGGGTGGCGAGCGCGAAAGCGTTGGTAGCTGCGCACGCATGAGGGAAAACAGAGAGTCGAGGCGCATAATTAGTAGCTTCTCTCTCTCTCACTCGCCTTTTATTTTTGGCCAAGGCGCAACTAAACAAATATTCTTTCGGACACACGTCGCTCGAGCATGCATATGCTCTTTTTTTTCAGCTCTCAAATTACGCTGCATTCGAAAAAGCTGCAACGACGCGAGTCATACACGCGCGGGACTTTTTTGCCAGCTCGCTGGACCGTCCGTGGGAATGTGTGAATTAACGAGGTAAAATTTTTTCTTGTCCCTCGTGCGCTGTGATTCTTCCCCCCTATTTTCGTGCGAAAGTTAGCGGAAAGCGAGAAGATACGTGAAATATTATGACGTGACTTGGAATGATGAACAATTTTTGATCGTATGATATGCCAGTATTAACGGAAATAAAAGGAATTTTTTCTGGTTTTCGTGTAAAAATCGTGTTTTTGTCGTAATGATATTAGTATAAATGAATCTTCTAAAATCATTACACAGTATCTTACATATGGTGAAATCAATAACTGCTATCGGCATTTAATGAACATCAATTGACGTATATTGGCGTCTTTCTAGAAAACTCTCGTATTATTTTGTTCCGAGAGGTGAAAATTGAGTCAATCGAGCAACGTCACGTTCAAAATATACACGACAGAAATAGTTTCGCTGCCCCGCTGACAATGGCGAAACAATTCATTAATCCAATTTACCTGTCAAATTAGTTGTACAAACACAGCGACGTAATGAGATTGCAACGAATAGATTTGATAGGGTGGCTTTTTTCCAAAGTCTGAATAGTGGAAATGGTCGAGCGAGCTTTCAGTGCTACGCTTGGAAAAACTTTAAAAGACGTATCCATCAGAAAAGATGGATCTGAAATGGAGAAAGAGAAGAAAATAAAGAAGCTCGAGCATCGAGGGTAGAGGCAATTCTTTCTCCAAACACGAATGATACGAATAAGCAAGCGAGCAAACGTTTTCGCATGCAGCATTTTTCCGGGGCAGAGGAAGAACAATGACGCGGCCATTATTGGCATTCGCATCCCGTGCCCACTCTTCCGGTCCTCAATCTCCGTTTCTCTCTCATAATCCCTTCATAATTTTGCTCTTTGCCTGTCTCTCTCCGCGAACAATATCACGCTCCGTCTAGCGTATATACGCGCTGGTATGTGAGCGCGCGATGAGCCTTTTTTACGGGCTAGATTCGCATTATTACATAGGTCACAGATGCAAGTGCGCGTTGGTATCGGACGGCTTGCAGTCTCGAAGCGTGCTCGCACGCGGCTGCCGAGTATTATTGCCGGTGTCGGGGCCTGCATTTATGAAGGTCATAAATTACGAAATCGCAAATTGCACTTGTTACCGTTTACGCGTGGTCTGCTGCGCACAGCTGCGCCGTATGTATGTACGCTGTCTCGTACCACCGCTGCTACTGCTGCTGCTGCAAGATTTTGCGCGACACGCTGTGCTACTGCTGCCGCGGCCGCCGCTGCTGTTGCTGCTGTTGCTGTATGCCCTATACCCGAATACGAGCTCAACGAGGACGATATGAAGAATGGGGTTAATTAGTAAGATTGGCGCTAACTTTGCGAGGTACGCGAATCGCTGTTATTACCAGTGTAATCGTAAATAATTTTACTTTTTTTCAGCTACTCTTGCATGCATTTTTTTATTCAAATGCTTTTTTCGCTCTGGGTTTTCTTGACAATTGTGTCATTACTTATGAGAATAATATCTATCGACAAAGCATAGGCTTACGTAGACTATGTAATAATTTATCGATTTTCCATTTTCTCCACTTTGAGATTTATACAATATTATCATGAAAAAAGTAATTAGTGCTCGTATAAATTAAAGTGTATCGCTTTCGAGTAATACATCAGACATGTAAGCAATAACGATATCGGAGAATTGGAACACACATACCAATATTGACTATTTGTTATGCAACGAATCAAGTGAAATTTTATCAATGAATATCAGTCAAAATGCGATTATCGTGCCGCGATTATTGGTTGCGATAAAATCGATTAATAATTTGAGCAATAATATTCAACGAAATAAAAATCATTGTTAGTTGATTACGTGAAATGAATCAAAGTACGCGCTTGGAAAGAAGAGTGGAGAGAAAAAAAAATGACAGCATAATTTCTCATAGGGATCATTTTGCGGAAAATCAGTGTTTACAGAAAATTTATGATTTTCCAAAAGTCATAAATCAAAAGAGATCTCGGGTGAGTGTCGGTGTCACTGCTTAAACCATTTACGGAGCTCGCGTCGACTTGATTAAGTGCAGTAGCAGCCATCGTCCTGTCTCCCTTAATTCCCGACCTCTTGCTGCTGCTCTCCCTTATAAACGAATGCTCGTGTCGCTAAGCTCGTCCTAGCGGCCTCAGCCACACGGAGGCATTCGCCTTCTTTACCAATTGTGTGCCGTTTTTGCGCTCGGCTCTGTCTCTCGGTTGGAGATCAAGCGGCCTGCCTCGTAATTGCATTAGCCGAGTCAATTTATCTGCCTGGCCGGGGTGCACGCGGCTAACGACGAAAACGGACATGTCAATCCCCCCCCCCCCCCTCCGCCTCCCCATCTCGCACGCAATCTTCCTCTCTCCCGAGGACTACTCGCTCTCGCAATCGCCCACGACGCCGGCTAACTGTACTCTCTAGGCTCGGACCTCTATCTGGGTTAATGGATTTTTTGGAAGTGCTAATTGCCAGAATGAGAGGGGAGAGAGCGAGCACGGAGGCCGGAAGTCGGACGCAATTTTAATTGATAGTCTCTCGCGCGCTACCTCCGATTCAATTAAACTCCCGACTGGCGTGATTTATTAATTAGGCCGGCGCTCGCTCCATTTCATTTTTATTTTAATTTCTTTCCTTCCCTCTTCCTCGCAGGCCACTTGTTACGTGAGCTGCGATCAGCCTTCTCACGCGCGCTTCTGCTGCAACTTACCGTGAGAGTAGAGCGCGCGCGCGCGCGCGGCTCGAGCTAACTTGACCGAATGCCGGCGATGGCGCTGCGCTCGAATCGCAAGTTGTCGATTAGCGGCCGACGGTATATATACGCTCGCTCTGTATAATTGGGCCTGACAATGGGGAAGCCCGAAGCCACTAGTAATGGACTGGCCAAGTGGCGTGCTGCTGCCTCCGTAGTATTTTGCCGACGAGACTGATTCGCCACTACCGCCGATCAATTTGAAAGACAATTAGAGGCGTTCTCGCACGGATTGTCTCTACCTGAATTGATAGACTTCGTTCTTCGTTTTGCCTTTTAATTTACGTGCAGTTGTTGCTAACTTACCTCCGATTAAAAGGATAGGGATAAACTGACAATCCTGGATGAAATAAATTAATACAAATAATACTTTTTTTTTATTATTATTATTATGTCACTAAATAAGAAATACTCAACACTCAGGTAGTCGTAAAAAAACAATAAAGAAAGAAACACATGCCGAGAAAACAAATATTTACAGAGAAATCTGGTTTAATAAGTTGTACTAAATAATTTTAAAACTCAATAAATGAGGCATTCGATTTTGGCAATTCACAATTTAAAAAATTGAATACACTGTTATACTCAAACGCTATAGTCAAATATGATCAATCTTCTAATAAACTTGCACTTACGCAATCAATCATTCGGTACATTATCAGTAGTTACCAATCTAGCAAACAAATTTTCTCCTCGAAAAAACCGGTGCAACAAATTTGATATCCTATAAGTCGTCTCTAGCATCATCGTCGTTAATTATTACTATAGCCGAAAACAAACGCGACCCTAAGCTTCTACATACTTACAAACTGGAAGAATCCTTGACTGAAAAGAAATTAGAAAAACATTTCGATGGCGCAAACCAATCAGTCTTAGCGCAAATGTGTGATGCGGGCTGACGGCTGAGCAAATCGGTGCTCCATTACTCTCCTCGATGCGTATAGGTGATGGTTCTGGGAGCGAGCGAAAGAGAAAAGGCTCGGAATTAATATTTAACACCCGCATGAAGAAGAGTACTGTCTCTCGACGATACTAATCAACGTGGAAGAGGCCGACGACGCTGCGGTCGTCCCTCTGCCTCTGCGAAAATTTCATTATTGACCTGTTTTTATTTTATTTATTTTTGCGATTTTTCTCTTCGTTATGCAGCCACTCGGCGAAAGGGGATTTTCATTTATTTAATCTCCGATCAGTCTCTGTGCTTCGCGCGCGAACGGATTTGATTATTTTGCGGCAACGCTCGGCACCTCTGTTTATTTACTCGGAATTATATTTGCATTGGGCTCGCAAGCACCCGCGTTCACTAGAAATTTAATGCATCATTCACATAGTCCATTAGTCGCAGTAATTGCAGCACGTTAATTACATTTGGTTATTTTGAACATTCCGATATGTGTAATTGTTTATCACAATATCGAATTCAATTACCCTCTACTAATTAAATTATATTTTCTTCGGCGAGCTGGCAAATTATTGGTTGATTATTCGCGTGATTACATCGACTGGCATCGTCGAATTCCAAAAGAGCAATTAATAAAACAAAAGGAGTTTTTGTTTTTTCTTTTGTCGGCTCGACAATACTCTAAAGCGAAAAGTTAAAGTTGCATCGTCGTGCGGCAATGTCGTGTCATTTTGAGGTAACTTTCTCTTTCTCTCTTCCTCTTTCTCGCTTTACCGCGCGCGTAATGAAGTAACAAATTTTAGCGCGAAAGTTAGCGGCTAACAGGTTTTTCTGGTGCTCTAACCGGGCTTACATCTACTATAACGTGGCGCTCTCCTATTAATTCTCAAGGGCTCGATTTGCAACTCGAAGACAAAACGATGAAGCGCCGCGCTCGCTCTACATTTTCCCCCCAATTTAAGCGATGTTTACGAAGTTATCGAGTCAAAATGAATAAAATATTGTTGCTGCAGTGAACATTGTACTAAGCTGAAAAAACGAAAAGAAACAGCATCGAGCGGTTGAAGGTGATTGCTCGGCTGTGAAGCCCCCCGAGTCATGAAAAATTGAAAATACTGTTACGCTATACCTGGCTAATCATGGGCACACGGCAACGCGCAATTGCACCTAATTTCCTACTCTTCAACATTATCCATCAAACAAACGTACGGTACGCGTATATCTTTGTGTTTCTCCAAGAGAGTAAACATTTACAGCTGAAAAACATAATAATTGACATAGTGTGCGGTCGGAGCTGCGTCGGAATATAAACACATGCGCAGATCAGCGGCTATCCGCACACAAGAGTTTTCAGCTGTGAATTGACAAGCGCAGAGGAGCGAAAAAAGCGGGAACAAGGCTCGGTTAGGGTAGCGTGAGATAAAGGGAGGAGAGGACTCAACGCAGCGTTCACGCGTGAAGATTAGGACACATGGTCGGCGCATTGATTGCGGTCAGTGGGCTGGTTCAGGGAGCGACAGGGACAGTGTTGGCGGTGGCGGCGGTGGCGACGGCGGCGGCGGCGGCGGCGGTGGTAGCTTGCTGCGGAGCAGCAGTCGTCCCGGAAGCCAGATTCGACGCCTCTTGCTGCTGCTGCTGCTGCTGCTGCTGCTGTTGCTGCTGCTGTTGATTCGCTGGCCCAGGCGTCGTCGATAAGCCCGCCGGTGCCGCGTATGGGCTTCCGCATAGCAGATCTGCGATACGGCCACCTTCGCGTAGTCCACTGAGAAACGCACCGTGCACCGTTGCTGGGTAGTTACGTATTGTGTGCTCACCTGTGCATTAGGGTTTATTGTAGTATGAACTTGGTCGGGATTAAGTTTTTTTCACTCTGTGTGACGGTGCAGAGTTTGTATTTCATTGTTACAATTATGTTACTGAAAGAACCGTTTCAATTAATTGTCTATTTAATTAATTGAAGATTTCCTCATGGAACCTAATCATAAAATAGGCTTGCAAACGACGCTCGTCGTTAACGAAAAACGGAGAAAAAACAAAGGAGAAAGGCAGAGAAGTTGGACGCAAAAAGGGGACATTTGTTCACGATGAGAACGACATTGCGGCGTTGTATGCAGTATACAGAGAAACACGCGAAAAAAAGTTATTTACACGCGGCCGCAGAGAGACGGACGGAATTACGCGCAAATAGACATTCAATCGAAAAGTAAGGGGGAGGGGCGAGGACTTATAAGCGCGATTGGCGGGATCGTTGGCTCTTTGTCCGCAGTCGGCGGCTGCCAAGATAAATTGGCGTTGCGCGACAATCGTTTGCACGCATAGCATTGATTAAATCGCGGGGATGCTAATTAATGCAGATCGCTTACCGGCGAAGAAGACGCGGGGTTGCGCTGCCGGTACTGTACTGGTAGTAGTGGTGGGCGGCTGATTGGTCGGTGCTGGCGGTGCGACGGGCGCCGCCAACAGATCGTAATCGCTGCCTGAGCTGCCCACTGCTACGTAGCTGTAAGAGCCACGGGCCCATGGATCTGCCCGCCACCTTGTTACCACGCTCTCACGCGGCTGTGGTACCACCTGATTACCAAATATCCCCTGCAAAATATAACATAGGATTCCAGGTCGTGGAACACCAATTACTTAAAAAAGTCGTGTTGTATTAAGATTATTAAAGCAGCCTCTAATAGTAATCCTCTCAGACCTGAGGAATATTAGCGATAATAAAAATGCATGTCTTTAATTTTGCTACTTTTTGTTAGTAGATTTTTTAGCCTCATCTAGTCGTTTATCAGACGAGAAATAATTATAACGTAGTTGAATTATTTGCATATCAAGAGTTTTATCTAGAAAACATACGCATAATAATTTTTTGTTAAATAAATAGCTCGATACGGTTAGTACAGGTACTGGGAAAACATCGCTACGTTGAAAATTTGTACTTTACAATTGCAAGCATTCCTCAGTTGTCAGCGGATCGTTTTTCTGACAGTATGTCTCAACTTGTCTTCTAAATAAATGCACGCAGACACTTTGGTTCACGCTCGAATCGATAAATCTTCTAAATTCCATTGCTATTTGCTTTTGGAAGTCGCTTAAATTATGAAGTCTCCATAAGGGGATATACCCAATCAGCAAGCAAACCCGTGTGCCGAACAAACGCAATAATTACGAGGCCCACAAATAAAGGTGCGTATTTCAAGTGTCAAGTAAGTTATTTCGTCTCTCCCTCTTACCCGGAGCAGCTATTCATAAGTGCAGAAGAGATAAGAGAGAAAAAAAAGAGGTCAATAAACAAGCCTTGCACACATACCGTTATCCCAATCCTTCGTCATCATTATCATGTTTATTCTTTTTCAACCGCACGTGGTATATACGTTCGTTGCAGCGCGGTGCATATCCTTTTATATCACTGATTACATCGTCGCCCATAATTAAGCAAATATTTATTATAAACAAAATGAAGCCAAGAGCAAGAGACGGGTTGGTTGCTGCGTCGAGCAAAAGGGTGTGTAATAAATTGTGGCTGGCTGGCTGGCTGCCGCTGCATCACACACGTCTCGCGTGACTTTTTACACGTGCGCGCACTTAAAATATTCCAAGCAAATCTTTTTATCAGCCGAGACTGAGGGAGGGAGAGAGAGCATGGACTGCCGACACTCGAAGTGGCTAACCCACTTGAAAATCTCATAACAAGTCTGAAGGGCCCTCGTTCTCAGTCTCTCTCTCTCTCTCTCTCTCTCTCTCTCTCTCTCTCTCTCTTCCCCTTTTTTTAAACGATGAAAAATGCTTGGGCAATTAATTTGGAGCTACAGTACGCTCTTGGCCCTCCAGCTGCGACGAGGACGCGGCACGTGGAGGACAAGCAAGCAAATTTCGTTAGCAGTAAGGAATGATACGACGTCGAGGCGACGACGAGAGAAAGACGCACGGCCAAGCGCAAAGAGGAAGTCAAGCGAATATAAATGCCACGCTCTGACGCGCGAAAGTCTTTCGCTCTCCCGCGCGTGAGTGCTCACGCGATTTTTATCCGATGTGCTGGCTGCTTACTTTGACGTTCACCTTATGAAGTGCATCACCTTTTTTTTTTTATTGTTTCCGTCTTGAATATTTTCGCGTGGTATTTGTCTCACGCGTTCGCACGTTTCGAGCTGATGTCCGTGAATAAACCTAAATCGATCGATTTCACCTATTTAATGTACTTTTTATTTCGCTTTAAGAGCATGCTTTTATTAATAATGAGACACCATAAATGACGTTACCTTTAGTATGGTAATTTTTTAATTTTATTTCTTGCAACATTATCTCTAACTTTTAAGAACATTTGTCAAACCGCAATCCCCCAAAATCATCGAATTCTTTATATCCATTAGTATGTATTTTGACTAATGAATAATATTGAACTACTTTATAGAATAATTATAAGTATAGCTGATGATAGTTAGTTCGTAAAGAATGATTGAAAAGCGACCGAAAGTAATAAGCAGCTCTGAAGCTACCAAACAAGTAAATCAATGGACAGTCTTGAGAAAGCGCATTTTTTCTAAACCAAATAAACAAACTGCTTTGTTTGTTGCTGGGTGCAGTGTAGAAGATATGATCTGCGAACTCACCTTGAGGACAGCGATGCAGCGTCCGACGATAACATCGTCACTGACGTTTTCCATGACGCAGGCGGCTTCGCCGGCGACGAGGGCCAGCAGCACTGGAGCTTTGTACAGATTCCAAAAGAGGAACAGCTCGCCGCGGGAGGCCGTCGTGCTGCCGACGTGACCGAACAGATTGGCCGACGGGTCCCAGAAAATCCTCTCGAAGCAAAGCACGACCTGTCCACATAGCACACAAACAATCAACGCCGACGCGTGCAATTTATTTTAATGTTACCTATCGTCCGGTCTTCGCGCTAATTGTAAGGTACGTTCCGATGAATAAAGCCGCCACGCGACGTCTTATTCAGGCGCGCATTATTAATGGCGATCGTCGAGTGCTACGGAAGCATTGCGTACGAGCAGCCGACAGTAATGGCAGTGTCGCGTTAATTAATATTTTCCGAAGATAATCGTGCGACGATGTTCAGGATCGCAAGAGTGACCTCAGCGCGAAGCTCAAAGGCTCTCCCTCGCAATGTTGTCTGATGCGCACTTCTCGCCGTTCCTTAGAGTAGCCCCAGCATCCTTCGGCATGATCGCATAATGCACAACGTATATATACCCCAAGATTGATTCGGTTGCTCTCAATCTCTGAAGCTAATTAGCAGCTGTGAGAAATTAGCTGCTGGCTGGCGCTGCGCATGTAGCGCGCAGCAAATAAGAGGCCCGCTTTCATTCTTTTGCCAAGATGAGCGCGTCAGCCGGCCCGCGCCAGTAGTCGGTCCTTTGTGCGCAGCTCGCCCCGGCAAGCCATTACTAAATTACTAATTTAATTAGAAAGCCGGGCACTCTCGCGAGATGTAGCGGGGGAAGGGGAGCGGGCTATTTATTTTTCGCTCTCCCTTCTTTTAATTATGTATATCAAGTGGCAAGGCGCCAGCCGAACGGAATTCTGTCTCGTCAATTTTATCACTGCGCGCTCGATTCTTTCTAGCTTACGCGCGCCTAATTACTAACGACGAGCGTATTCTCTTTCAGTCGGCAGCTAAATAATAAAGCAAACGAACAGGCGCCGCGGCCCCTGCCGCGAGAGCCGCTTGTTTACAAGCTTGCTTTTGATGAGACATTAATTGCTAGCGAAAGACGCCCCCTCTCATATAAAAGTAAGATGCTCTCGGAGAGAGAGAGAGAGAGAGAGAGCTTGCGGTCGAGGTATTATATTTCTCGACGGATACGCTTCATTAAAAAGCTTTTCTGCCTTGAATTTTTCAAGCCAAACTGCTTCCGCATCGTCATACACAGCTAGTGTACTTAAACATTACTTTGCCTTTGCAAAAGTTTGGCCTTCCAAATGTATAAATCTTGTAGGCCGTTATCTTGCGTCAGGAGCGTTTCGCGTGTCTATTTGAAAATTGGCTTTTTGGAAGCCGGCTGGAATGTAAAGCGTGCAATGCAGACAAGTTGAAGCGAGACTAACCTTGTTGAGATTGCCGAAGCCAAGACGCTGTATGGCCTGTGACTTCCACTCGGGTAATGGCGGATTGAAGGCAACAGCTGAAGGTGCAGTCGAGGCCTTGAGTACACCTAAGGGCAGCGTAACCAGCACGGCGTCGCACTTGTAAACAGTGTTGCTTGTCTGAGGCGAGCGCGATGGCGCCGCGTAAACCTCCACGCCGTTGGTGCTGTAGCGTACCGCTCGCACAGCGGTGTTCAGTCGTATGTCTAAACCCTCGGACAACGCCACCGGGACGCACGAGTAGCCGTTTCTCACTGCAACAATCAACAATTACAACTAAATCACTATCCTATTGTTTTTACCACGTTGTTCTTGTAAATATTTGCATATTTCCAACTGTATAACTTGTCGGAAGAACAAAGCTTACTCCGAAGGTATTATCACGATATTATCGATTATTCTCTAATAGCATTATCACATTAAATGTCATATTTTACATAAAGATATTTCATTCAAACCTTTTCTCGCAATATACTTTAACGAAAAAAAATGATAACACAACGAGTGACGAATGCATAAGAAGGAGGGCAGGTGCACATGAAATTAATTGGAATAGCTCATCTAGATGGCTACTCGGCAAATTAAGAGTCACACGAGAGATTGATTGATTGATTCCTTTTTTATTTACTTTTCAGCAAAAGAAGAGAGAGCGAGAGAGAGAGAGAGAGAGAGAGAGAGGTAATTTGCGCGCGCGCGCGCCTGTGTGTGTGCGGGCGGCTTCCGATGGGAGGGAATTTGTTTCTCTTTAATTTATGCGCGTTTATCGCAGGCGGAAATCTCGAGAGCTTGCGCTGCTCTCTCGCGTGTCGCGAATTTATAACGCTCGTTAGCCGCTACAAACACACGCGCGTGCGCACACATACACTATCGAGGATGCGCGAGCGGCCGGACAGTACGTACACTCGGACACAATGTGCGCTCCGGGATTTTCCTTCTCCTCTGGTGTTATGTTAGTTTCCGCTTTGTTCGCGAGTCTCTGTCTTTCTTTTGTCGAACGATTTTCCGTTTTTTTTTTCTTTTCGGCTCTTTGTTCAGACTCAAATGGAATACTGCAGCTGCTCGTTTTAATGACACTATCGCGGCGTCCCGTCGCACGCGCGCGTTAAACAATCCTGCGCTAGTTCTAATTCAGTTGGGTACATTTAGCCAAAGTCACGAAGTACACTCTGCTGTAGATAGCTTGACAAATTCGCATACCGAATTTATATCGGTTAGAATTATGATTGCTCTTCGTGTGGTCATCATCATCCGGCATCCAGATGCGCTTTTAATTTGAAATAACGCTCTCTGCTGTTGCGGATGCGCATTTATTATTACGATCGAGTTGGCGGATAGCGCCCCTCTTAGTTTGGGCAATTGTCGCTCGTTATTTTTACCACTAATTAAATGTGATCAAGATGAAAAAAAGAGAGAGAGAAAGCGATGCGGGAAATCATGCAAGCCGATCTTTCATTGTGTCTTGCGCCTCGCCAGTAATAACGTCGAGCTCGCGGATTGCTATTATTTCATTAACAAAAAAGCGAGAAAAAACACACGCGAACTTCTCATTCATTAGACGAATTCTTTTCGCCAAGGCTCACAACGAATGAAGATTGAATTCCGTGATTGAACGCAACAACTATGTGATTACGAAGATGTAGCTAGCGCGGCGGCAAACGAGATCTGATTTATGGCAAATTCAATTATCATGGCAATGAACGCAAACGGTACATATATATTGCTCGCAGCTGCGGCGTTATTTTAATTAAGCGCGATTATCAAATGAAAAGGTAGCGGCAGATGAAAAAAAAACAGCGGCGACGCAAGAGCCCTGCAAAAACGTTGAGTCCCATATAATTTATCGCGTTCAATTACAAATACTCGTATCGTAAATCTGGGCTATTATTACCTTATCCCGAGCAGGAGTAAATACAGCAGGAGAGGGCGCTATCTCGAGCACGCTAATAAACGCGCATGAAAAATGCTTCAAACAGCGCGTTTATGATAATTTTCTACTCACGCACGTCGTAATTATCATCCGCGCTGCAGTAGAAGCTCGGCGCTCACAGTGTAGCGATACGCTCGGCAAGATAAGTGGGCTGCAGTGGCAAAGCCGCAATGTACATAGATGCGGCGCTTGATCAACAATTTACCAGCTTGGCGAAATAAAAGCAGCGCTGCGACTCGTAGAAAAGTGATTAAATAACTGTAAAATTTATCGGCCATCGCGCGCCACGTCTCCCAGTTCAATTCCCGAGAAAATCTCGCACGCTGCTCCTTCGGGATATACTCTTTTCGAAGGAAGACCAGCTTCTCCTGGGGTTGTGAAAATACGCGTAAAATCCTCTCGATAAGGTACTTTCTCTCTCTTGCTGTCTCACTGTCTCGCGTATGGCATATGTACAATAAACGAGAAACGAAGAAAAAATATGTAAAATATGTGATAGCAGCATGCATGAAAATTAGCTGGTCTCTCGATCGTTTTTCAAATAGAAAAAAAAAATCAGAGTAAAGGGTCGCGCGCAAAATTATTTACAAGGCGCAAGACCGAGCGAGTTATCAACGCCTAGGACAGCCCTCGTAAACAACACTAGCGGACCGTTTCAAACGCACACGCGCGCTCTGCGCCTCCAGGACCTTTACGAGCGCGCCCATTAAATTTTATCTTTCGTATTTAAATTACGAGAGTTCGCACGAGCTACGTATGTATATGTACATTTGAACGATCGGTATACGCGCGAATTCCAAAGTGATCTTGTGTAGTCACGAGGACGAGTATCACTTCGACTTCAACCACGTCGCGTGCTGCCTTGTACGTGATTAGATATGAATGCAGATGGGCTGATGTCGACATGCGTACACGCGTATATGTCGATTCAGAAGTTAAGTCCTTTGCTGAATTCACAAACGTTCGTGTGCTTATCTTTCGATTGAGGAATAATTGAGTACGAGTCCGCTGATGTTGGTTTCGTGAAATATACGAGTATAATCCAGCATTTCATCGTCATTCTACCGAAAAATTATGAATTTTTACTTTAATTTGCTTTGCTTCTCGATATACCGCGCCTCGGACAACCGTTTATCCAAACGTTTATTTACTCATCGATGAAAAGTCATATGCATGCGCCGAGAGCTTGCCCACGTCGAAATAATTTACGTGACGCATATACCGAAGTGTAAAATCAAATGCGCGATAAAACTGGACTCGCATAAATTTTTCGAAATCAACAAAAGCTGATCGATAAAACACGTAAATATCAGTAAAACCTATCGCGTTTGTAATACATTGGTTCATTAAACTCGCATGGAAAATCAAACGTAAAATCAATCAATAACTCGTTGTTAGCCCTCCTCGGGGGCCTTTCCATTTCGACTCGCATTACCGATGCAACACCTACCTCTCTCTATATTTACACGGCCAACATAATAACTCGCGCTTTATAATAAAAGCATAACGAGTAACGGCGAGAGAGGGGCGGTGCTCGCTAAAATTAATTGAAATAAAGAGAGGTGAAAAAAAAAACGAAGTCGAGAGATTCGACGTTTCTCACGCCGAACAATTACTCGAAATTTATCGAACGTGCGGGAGGTTTGCAAAAAAAAGTCTCCACCGGCGTTGTATGCGTATTTACATTGGCGATCAATTATTTTCATGCTCCAGCTAGCATTGAAGGTATAGAAGGGGTGTGGGTGCGTAGCCTCTGACTAATTGCCACCTCGTCGGCTGGTACACATACACACCCACAGACGCAAATACGCGGGACGAAAGTCGCACTCAATAAATACAATTTGCAAGCTCCCCCTTCTCTCCCTCTCGGCGTGCACGATTTCCCTGAATTCCGCTTAAATCACGCAATTTCAGATGGGCGTCGGACCATGCGCGCGCGCGCACACACACACACCCACACTCTCTCTCTCTCTCTCTCTCTCTCTCTCTCTGCCAATTACGCTAATTATGACGTACACTCGTGCGAGTTCGAGGGTCAATTACGTTGGGGCCAAGTGCAGCGTAACGGCGGTAGCGGCAGTGCAGCCTTCTAATGTGAATGTATGCGCGTCGCGCGTCATAATTCAGCGTTTTGCCACGTGCAACCAGTGGTCCGCCTAATTTATCGCGACGTGGACATGTAGCAGCAGCAGCAGCCAGCCAGCCATCCCAATTTTTAAACGTATGCATACACGCGCGCGCACACACACGTACGCACGCACACACACAAAGATATCGATCACTTGTCGCAAGCTCGCGGTTGTGCATGCTCTGGCTACTGCTGCTTCCACGAAGAAATGGCTGGTTTCGCCCGTAGTAATGATCGGGTTAACCTTCACGCTTGTGAAATTATAGCCTTGTAACAAGCTTCGGTAACGAACTGATTGAGTGGCTTACGCAATTGATGTAATGATCCGTTACATTCACACACGTGCTATACATACCATAACAATGTCAAGTTTGTCATTATTTTATGAAATTCAGATGCTGCTGACGTTGCGGTAGTTGCGTTGTTATTTCATTAGTTTCTATTTTCTTAAATCAGTGTGTGATCTTATGGAAATGTAAATGATCGTCGTTCTCACTTTCAAATGACTTATTGTTTGATGGTTTTCCTTATGAATAATTCAAGATTTCAATTTATTATTTTTTAATGAATATTTAATATGTTACATTTAACCTCGTACTAAGTGTAAATGAAACTTCTTTATATGTCAAATACAATTTTTTAAGTAAATAAGATTACATATAACCAAACATGTGTGAATATATCGATTCTATAAAATAAACATTTATGATGTTTATAAGAAAATTTTAATTACAAAACAGCTCATCTGAGAAAGTTAGTGACACAGTTATAGGTAATATATAGAAATTTTGAAAAGTCATCAAAAAAGTTTAAATTGCACTTAAGCGTGTTTTTCTATGTGCCCCGATAAGAACTTCTAGACGGTTTAGAACTTTTCACATTTCTTTAAAAAAACATTAGTTTACGTCAACAGCGACGTCAAATTGGAATGTCCAATAAAAAATTACACAGTGCACTATAAAAACTGACTATATTATACAAATATTTATCGGATAATTATATAGCATTACTCAGTTTTATACTTTTAAGTTCATGTACTTGTGAGAAAAACTAAAATCTTGAAAGCTAACTATAGTTAGATACAATCAGTACACTGTAATTCGAGAATTAAAAAAAAGAATTCTTGTCTCTTAATATACCAAATACTACTTTAAAAATTGTTTAAATATGCTTGAAAAAAATAATAAAAATTCAGCTCAACCCCCTTCAATATTACATTCAAATTCAAATTTATAACAACAAACACATATAAGGTATCCTACAGAACCAAACCAAATGAACAACGGTGATTAACGTTTGTGATAAAGATCATACATGTATTATGAATTTGATGAAATCAATTTAAATTCTAATTAACTTTTAACTCCGATTCTTAAGGGTATTATCGTAACCTTTTCAGTATTGCTCTAATTTGATCTATGACGACTACTTAATGTATAATAAACCCATAATTTCTGACCAAAAAATCGAGAACACTTTTCAAAGAAAATAGAAATAAGAAGTTCAAATATAGACGTGATTAACAACGATCTTCCATGAATTTGATGATAACTTTAATTCAATTTGTAAATACAAAGCTGGAAACTATTTCGTTTGAATTATTTATACTTAATAATTTTTCATTATTAGATAACTCACTGTATTCTCTTCTTGCTATATGGTTACTTAGTTGATTGACAGTTTTGTTTATTATATGCGACAACTTTAGTAAACATTTTGAAAACTTTTATTGAAAATTTTCAAGTAAATTGATTTAGGTGAGTGGAATAACGGTATAAGTCAATTTATAGCACTTTTACATCAGATTATGACTCAGTATCTTTCGATACATGATATATGTTGACGATATATCAAAGAGCTGATATGTAAGCTGTAAAATTGAGACAATCTACGGGAAAACGGTATAACTCAAATTAAGAATGTAGATTGCCCACCATGACGCATAAATTTTACTAACTTTTTTTTAAATAAAGTGTACACTAGTCTTCGCGAACTCAAAAAGATAAAAAATATCAAAAAAAGGCGGATAAAGATGGAAAAAAAGAAAGATAAACAGACAAAAACAGAAAAATTAAATAAAATTAAAAAATTTTTTTAAATGATAAGAATATATTTTTTTCAATAAATATATAACAGTAATGGGTGATAAAATAACATTTTATAAAATAATGAAGATACACAAAATAGACTCGATTTTTGG